GCATGATTGCAGAATATGGATACACCATGTGGAAATGTGCATTAGGCATATGTAGGTGTGTAACATTTTGCATGTCAACAAGAAATGTACTAGAAAAGATAACGGAATGCTTATTACCTTACTAGTTATTTCTTATAACCTAGAAGCAGGTTGAAATTTGGAGGACAGTGTAGGAGATGACTAACCTGCTGCTCAGCTCTTGCTCCATCGTTTTCACAAGACCTTTGGGTGCTCGTTCCAGGAAACTTAGGACAGGACCCAAAAGCATGGACACCAACTGAGGCATTGCTGTGGGCTATATTTAGATACTACCAAAGCCTTATGCACACATAGGCAGGGCTTTGGGAGGTGACTGGACTGTGGGTGTGTGATGCTCATCATTGAATTAGTCCACTGATGGATTTACAGCTGGGTATGATATTGGGAGGTGAGGTCTTCCCTGGTGGGAAGAGGTGGATCACTGGGGGCGTGGCCTGAAAGGTATATATCCTTCCCCCCTTGATCATTCTATGCTTCCGGCCTGCCGTGCCATGAGTTCATCCTCTGCCGTGACCCTCTGCCATGCTGCCCAGCCCTGAAACCAGCCAACTATGGATTTAACCCTCCACAAACTGTGAGGCAAAATAACATCTTCTTCCTTAGAGTGAGGGTGTTGAGTACTCTGTCCCAATGATAACACAGTAACTAAAGCAGCCATGAATAGCAATGATGTTGCATTTATTACATACTAATGTGAGAAAGAAAGCCCTTGGTACCTCAATATTAGGTTCTCTGAGAAAGGTCTAGCAATATCTGATGGAAAATCAGTTATGCATTCAAGGGATAGGCTTTGTATATCTCAAGTTGGTCAGCATTAATACTTCTCTGAGGTATCAAATCCCACCAGGGGTACTTTAGTCACTATTTTTGAAATTAAAGGCAATAATTTAGTTAAGAATGCATGCATTCCTTTTTTGTAATGCAGTGACATATTATGTAGCTTTTGGTATATAAATCCAGGTTTTGAGTAACTTTTATTGTCATAAGAAGGAAGTTTAAATGAAACAATAAATTTTGTCAATGGTTATATCATAAAAATTTCTAATATACTTTCCTAAAGAAAGAGATCTCCTCTATGATGCTAATTGCTATGAAAACATCCTTCTTTTCAAACATTTGTGGATATCAGTGATGTGCAGAGTTAAACACTGAACAAATAATGTGAGCTTTAGGAGGTGGACAAAATTCCATGCCACATACACAAAAAATGGGACAGTGTATGTGGAATTAGAGGTGGACAAAAAAATGAATAGATCAAAAATCAGTAACAAAAAAGGCAACAGTCCCTCAGACAAAGGACTTCTATCTACAACATATAAAGAATTGAAAAAAATCAGACACCTCAATTTCAAAAACCCAATCCAAAAATAGGCATCTGAGATTAATACACACTTCTCAGATGAAGAAATAAAATTGGCAAATAAATATATGAAAAAAAATGTCAAGCATTACTGGTCATTCAAGAAATGCAAATTAAAACATTACTGAGGTTCCATCTCAACCCAAAAAGAATGGCTACCATCAAGGAATCAACCAATAACAAATGCTGGAAGGGCCGTGGGAAAAACAGAACACTTCTCTATTGTTGATAGAAGTGTAGACTTGTACAACCACTGTGGAAATCATTGTGGAGATTCCTCAAAAAACCAGGATTAGAGGTCCTATTCAACCCAGCTGTTCTCCTTCTGAGTATTTTTCCAGAAGAATTGAAAACAAAATACCACAGAGATATATGTTCACCCATATTTATAGTAGTGCAATCTTTATAGCTAAATCTTGGGAAAATCCAAATGCCCATCACCTGAGGGGTGGATAAAAAAAGATGAGGTATTTTTATACAGTGGAGTATTACTCACCTATAAAGAAAGATTAAAGTGAAAGCTTTTATAGATAAATGGGTACAACTAAAGATCAAACTCATAAGTGAAATAAATCAGACCCTCATGTGTAAACATTATATTGTCTTCCTAGAGGAAGAAACTGAAAGAGTAAATAAAATCCAAAATATACAATATGTATTGTGAAAGGGAAGAAAATTTCTCAAAAGAAAATAATACCTGGGGTGGGGGAAAGGAGAAAAGAGAGAAAGAAGGGGAAAAAATATATATACAAGATAGCTAAGATAATTGTACTAATTTCTATTGGTTTATTGAAAGGAATTGTTAATGCTTAACTGTTTGACCAATTTTGCATTCCCATATCTGGTAATCTGAACAACTACTGAGAAGATAATAGTATACAATGTAACTATCATTGTTAATGTCCTATCATCTTGTTTTGAAATTCTGTATCATTTTTATTATTTTTTAAATTTTCTGTTCTCTTTAGAAGACAAAAACACCCCATTGAGCACCATAGTTCTAAAAATTACCAGAAAGCTTCCTTAGACTCAGTTAGACCTGTGGCAAACATACTGAAGCAAAAGAACATGTAGATGTGTGAAAAATACTTTTGTATAATTATCACAAGTCATTGTCATTATAATTTTTATCACTATTCATTCACAAGTATATTTATCAAATAAATTTTGAAAGCTAAGTGCTGTGCTTTATACAATAGTAGGAGTATAATAGTGAACATCTCAGGAAAGAGCTCATCTATACCTGAGTGAATCTTACAAAAAACCAATTCATTCACTGTGATCTTAAGGCTTTGGGAAAACTCTTTTACCTACAAATATCTGTTCTTCTCATTTATCATGTTGCAGATTTTTTTCCAAGTTTCAAGAATTTACTCAGTATTTACTAGTGTGACTATTGGTTTCTGCAAGTATTTAGGAGGTCCTAATTTAGATGAGAGAATTAGATTTCTCTGACTTCAATAGAACCAGCATAGGCGGGGGCACAGGGAAGTAAGCAGACTATTATAATACAATTTGATAAAAACTATCATAGTGATAAAGAAAGTGTGAACATGGATATCTGGGATGCAGTATCTAAAGAAACTTCACATCAATCGAGGAAAGAGCCTCTAACAAATACCACACATGTTAAATTTGAAAGTAGATTTATTATGTTTAGGAGAATGAAGATGACATGGTAGAGTTAGTTCTAGAGTCAAGGTTTGGAAGCATATTAGGGTGGCACTGATGCATGTGACCCTTCGCTACTAAGCAGATGTCTTTTTAGAGCTTTTGGTTTACAGTGTGAGAGAAAGCACAGGAGCAACTTCCCATAAGTAAAAAGTTAGAATACAGACTAAGGATTTGAGATATGCGAGGTGGGAGAGAGGGAAGGGTAGAAATACGGCCTTAAGAAACTGAATCAGTTCTTAAAACTTCACAAACTCTTCTGTAGAGTTCAACTGCAAGATTTCCTTTAAGAAACACTGAAAGCCAATACACATAAGTAGTAAAAGAAAGAGAGTCATACATCATGGAAGACAATGCGATAGCCTTACTGCAGCCTCTCCTGCTGACCGCAATGAGTTAAAATGTTTCATTTTAACCATCCATCCCTGCTTCAACTGGTTCAGTTACCTGACTCTACTGAATTCTTCTTTTTGCCTAGGATCAGCAGGTACATGGAGAACTCTTTCAAGCATGGTCAGAAAACTTTAGAAAAGCATTAAATTTGTCTTTGTTTTCCCAGTGTTGAATCCATTTTTTAAGTAAGTGACATCATTGCAGAGGAAAACATGAGTAAAAGTGTATCCCTGCTTAAAAAATCATTTACATTTCTCTTCATAAGCTCTCTTTTTGGTACTTAATAGTTTGTAAACACTGTGATCTTGCCAGCACTTCTCATAAGCTATATGTGTGTTATTAATAAACTTCTCTGACTAGAAACTTCTATCACTGCAATGACTGTTGGAAAGCACAGGTTCACAAAAACTAAAAATGCATAGGAGGCTGTCACAGCTTTAACATATGCATTCTTCTTGCAGATGGTTGAAAAAGAAGGTTATCTTCAAAAAGCTAAAATTGCAGATGGAGGAAAGAAACTAAGGTAAGAAAAGTTCTTTGACTCACCACTATGCAGCTCTACTAGTTTCCCACATCCTCAAATTATGTCACTGCCATTGCTTGGGAAGGAAGATGCTGAGGTGCCAGGCTAGAAATAGCCACCTCTGTTATGACTATGTTAAATATTATTTTAATATAATTATAATTGTCAAAGAAAGGTACAACATTGTCTGTTGTACCACAGGGTATGTAAATGAAGTGCTTCCTGTCTTCCTGGGACTTGAAATCTTTTAAAAATAATGTTAGGGATTGGGCAAAAGATCTTGATTTCTGAAATTAACAGATCAGGTGACAAATGGACTCATTTACAAAATAAAATATCTCAGTACAATATATCGAGAGAAAAATTTTTGCTTTGTAGATGATTTGCACTGTACTTGTAGCTCCAAATGAAAATTATTTGACATAAGTAAAAGAAAATGAAAACCACAACGACAGAGTAGATGAGAGAAATTTAAAAAGTGAGTAAGGACCCCTCGAGTAACATAAAAACAGCAGAAACCACTGAGGGAAAGATAAAGATTGATAAGAGAGGCAGGATATTAGTTACATGCATTAAATATTATTTAAAAAGTCACCTCCATTTGAGAAGCTTTGCTATTTCTCCTTTCTGTCCTACTCGGTATTTAGCACTGTGGAAGGTGAAGCCAAAATAGAAAGGGGTGTAAAAAGTGCTGACACTGGGAGATAGTGCTTTTGCTCATGCGTGTGTTACTAACAGTTAAAACTACATAGAATAAATGCACTCACTAACTACACAACTGGACGTCTGTTGATTGCATAATACAGTTAATCATAAGAATGTCACTCTGGCCAGGGATATAACTCAGCGGCACAAGCACCTGCTTAGCAAGCACAAGGTCGTGAGTTCAATTCTTGGTACAAAAAAAACTCACACACACACACACACACACACACACACTCATTCCAAGAAAAAAAAAAAAAAAAAAAAAAAAAAAAAAAAAAAAAAAAAAGACACTCGGGCCAACACTACAGAATAAACTGCTTTTATTTGATAGCTATAGTAGATTATGTACGTATTTATTTAAAAGAAGTAAAATCGGGGAAGTGTTCAATAATTCTACTACCTAAAATAGCAGTGTGAATATTAAAACAACAAGCTTCATTTTTCTGCCGGTGTTGTGTCTTGTCCTGAGATATCAGACAAGGCCTTGAATCCTCTCCCAGGCTATACTTTGTCAATGACCCCACAGGCACCCTTCCCAGAAGGCGAGGCGAGAGATGCACAGGAAACGCAAGGCCCCATGGGAGACTGAGCTAGGCGCTGTCACCATGGAGAACTGACTTAGTGAATCAGGCTCTTAAAGGGCAAAGCAGGGAGTCGCTGGCTTGGACTAACCCAGCTGGAGTGCCCTCCTTTCCTCATGCTTCATTCCAGCCTATCACACTCAGGAAGAAACGTGGAGGGTGGGGCAATACCTCTCCTGAGGTGAATAAGTCAAGACCTCTTTTTACCTTCACCACCATGTGTGTCGGTCCCCAAGGACTCCTACTCTAACCCTTTCTCTGCAGCTTGGTAGGAGGGAGAAGGCAAAGCACTGACCAGTCCTAACTCCATCCTCCTCATGCAAGGAAGGGAAGCAAGTCTGAGAACACAAGATGAAGCCCTGCTGTGGTAGCTCTCTACAACATTCTTTCTGTAATCCATTTGTAAGTCAGCCTTGCAAAACTTTCTCCTAGAAGTTTGTGTTGCTGGGGATGTAGCTCAGGATCACAGCGCCTGTGTGGCAAGGGTGAGGCCCTCAGGTTTTTCCTGGCACCAAAAAAATAAATAAATAAAAATAAAAAATAGTTGTGTCAAGAGGAATCAGAGGTGCAGAATAAGTCCCCTCCAGTCTGTACCTCTCATGAGTACATTTGTAGGCAGTCTTCAGTGTATTTCCCTCTCTGCATTCCTTGAAGTTACGCAGCAAAGTAATCAGTTTATATACAATTTCTGCATTGCAGTTTAATCATGTAAACATTAATCTGTACTGTTTGACTGTTATTTCAATCACTTTGCATACCCTAATGCATTCTTTTAGCTCTTTTTCACGTTGATGTCAATTTTAGTTTTTTTGTTTTAAAAATCTCAGGTACATGGAGTTGAGTTGATTATACACTTCAGTTTACACCCTGTGTTTTCATCATTTGGGGCAAGGTGCCCAGTTGGTTTATTTCATTCTCAGTCTCCAATCCTCACTACAACCCCATGTACACTTACGTGCTGGCTGTTCAGCAAATCCACCTTCCATATAAGTATCTGGCTAGGTGCATGAGGAAAAGAAGCAGTGTGTAATCCTGGGTAACTGGATCTATTCTATGTGGAAAAATTACTTCTTTATTGTAAACTTCAATATGTTTTTATTACTGTCATCACTATTAGAGCTTGGGCACCTATAGTGCTATATTTGAAACTAATTCATTTCTCTTGATTGGTGCCTGCTTGCCATTGCGTGTGAGTTTCAAATGTTACTTAACCTTTCTTCCAGGCATGACCACTTGAATTGTTTCCAATTCCTTCTATACAAACAACAATGTAATAAGCGCACTTGGTGTGCTTTGAACCTGTTAGTAAATCTCTCAAGAATATGCATCCAGGAGTGCAGGGTGCTGGACATTTATACACCCATGGAGTGCTATTGCCAGACTCCGTGAATGAGGGCACTAGTGTACAGCTGTTTGCTCTGTGAAGCAGAAGACCCTTCTTCCCATTATCTATCAAAGCACACTATCATACCCTGTCAGTTTTGGCAGGTTCATGATCACTGACTGTTACTGAAATTCAGCTTTCAGTTGTATTTCATTGACGGGTATTGTAGTTGAGAGTACCTTTGTTTGAAGTCATCAAGAGTGTGTAATCTGAGAGCTGTCTGCTTGTCACAAGCTTTGAATACTTTTATTGAGTTTCTTGACATTATCTACCTATCTATCTATCTATTTACCTATCTATCTACATGGGGAGAGAGAAAACTTGTAGTATGCTCTAAATAGAGATAATTTGTCAGTTTTAGATATTGCAAATATTTTCTCTATATTTGTGGTAGGTTTGTGTTTGTGGTTTTATATAGACTGTACAAATTAAACATTGTATATATCAGCACACTATTTAATATCATACAGCATTCCACATGTTTAAATGCTAAGTCTGGATTATGTGGTCAAGTTATATGAACATTTTATGATGAATCTTATTATATATCAGCATTTTGGTTACCTACGTTGTCTTTATGGCTTTTTCACTAGCAACAAAATGGTTAGTTGAGTCATAGCCCAGAAAATCATGTAGTTTCATTCCACTGATAATTTGCTGATTATTACATAATCTGCCACAGTTACTATTCTTTGTATTTTTTGTATGAAATTTCTGTTGGTAGGATGTTCCCCATTTATTAAGAATATTTTTATCATTCTAATAAATTCTCATGAGCTAAGAAGCTGTATTGTGCTTAGCCTGTTTAGCAATGGTCTAATCCTTCCCTGATAGTATTTAAATAATACTAGAATTAGATTTAATTACTATTTCTTGCTATACAAATGGGGAAACTCAGTTACATGTGTTAACTTCTCCTTTTCCCCATACTATTGTGGGGATAATTGATAACATGAAATTTAGCTTTGTGCTATTTAAAACATGTTTGTTTTATGTATCTTGCTTTGTGAAGTAAAGAAGCAAAACCTGACCATTTGTCTCAAACCAAAAGTAGTTCCAACAGCTTCAATTGTTATTTAATAAATATTCTTTTTTAAATTTATATCAAATTTTCTAACAAATCCATTCTAGGTAATTTACATCTTGTATTATTTTGATATTTTCTTCTTCCCTCTCTCTATTTTCTTTATTTGTCCTTATCTCTCTTTCATATAGTTTCGCTTGTTTTTTCAAAAAATTGACTTATTCCAATATGAAAAGGAGAAGGTGACAGGAAATAGAACTTGTTGGCTACATCTTATATTCATAAAAGGCCCTAAATTTAGCTTTATTTCAAAATGAGGTTATACACATTTCCCCTGTGATACACTGACAGGCCTGAAAGCAGACTACATTCAGTGTTCAACTTTAATTTTTAATTATGAACATTGAAATTATGCCTCTGCTCTTCTGATGAAGCTAGGAATTTCTTCATTTGGGGAATTCTATCCGCACATCTGTAAGTAGCCATTGCCGCTCTGAAACTCTATGAAGCCTGAGTAAAAACTTACTTTCAATGCTTAAATTTACAAAAGGCATCTGAAGGCAAGGTTGTGCTATTTCAATGCCTTATGCCTGTCTCCCGGCGCCCACACTATTTCCTGAGCTGATATTCCTTTGTGGTTGTCTGCCTCTCAACATACTCGCTTCTCACTCTTCTATCCTGTCCAGAGGCCACAGAAATATTTGGAGATGAAAATATGGACAGACGGTGGGTCTGAAGGAAGTATAGTCAATGCTTCAATGGCTGTGTCTCCTGGTACCTGTGCTCCTAGGCACCTCTTTTATGTTAGGGAGAGAGTGTTCAAAACAATTGTTGCTCAGAATGGACGTCCTTTGGATTGTAGTACTACAGTGCTTTCCTCATGGAAACTTTTTTTTTTTTTTACTACTTTCTGCTCAGAATGTCAGTGAGTTCTGCCAGATTGAATCTGTCTTTCTTTATTTTCTTCCAACCCTGACAGAGATGTATGTTTTTACAGTGTCTTTTAAATTTTAGCAGAGTAAATTGTAAGAAGCTTAGAATAGGGAAGAGAAGAAATTAGATCCTAGACTTACCAGTCTGAGAACAAGTAAGAACTTGTAGTGTCTGAGGGATTTTTTCAGGAAGTCCAGTGTGGACGCTATAGTAAATAATCTCCACTCCCATAACCGCTGCAGAATCAGGTCAAATTCAGTGGCAGGTAAGAGCATCAGGTGGTCCAAAGAAGAGATTCTGACATGTACGAAGTCATTTGACTTATACTTTCCTCTGATGTTTTGTTTTATTGCTGTGAAGCATAGATTAGTATAAGATATAAAACTTTGATATTTTGGATAAGTAAATTTGTTAAAGCCAGAGCTCAAATTTACAGACTGTTATAATGGTGATGACTAATTTAAGGCGGTCTCCGTCATGCATTCCCCACATAAGCAGTTACAAAGTTGCTGTTACCTGCTGCCATCCGGTGTCCATTTTGTGGAATGTCAAGCCGGTGCTTGTGTGGAGGTTTTTGGTTTTGTTTTGGGAGTATTTTGTTTATTTGGAGTTTTGTTTATTTTTCTTCCCTTTCCAGCTTCACAACTCAGAATTTTCTTTAAGAAAGTTCTGTAAAGTATTCCACGTGGATACGATGCCCTAGCATTTGCATAGATTTTACATCGTTGCCCCTACATGAACTTTGATCTCTTTCTTTCACTGAAATTAGCATCATCACTCCCATAGAAGTGACATGTGTTGTGCCCAAAAATGAAATAGATCCCTGCATTTCCTGTCCCAGGATCTGTTTTCTGCACTGAATCACTAGCATCAGTCCTGCACCTGATTGACTGTATCTGTAAGTGGTGCCCTGGAACTGCCTCACTTATTCCTTGGACCTCTGACTTACTAAACTGGAGTATTTTCTGAGCCATGCATCTTGCTTAAGCCTTAAATCTACTCAATATTTCAATCTTATGGTCCTTGGAAGAAAAACAGAAGTCAGACACTGAATGCTATGGTGAAATGTGGAGGCATTAACTGATTCCCTCTGCTGGGTGGATTTACCTGCTGGCCGTCAGGTAGGGTGGAAGCCAGGACATGGGAGCTGTCAGTTCAACACTGCAGAACAGCCCGGGTCAAGCTGAGATGAGAATTCCTTGATGACGGTTCTCCCTCTCTGAACTTCTATTATGGTGTTTCATATAGACAAGATCAAAAAGACTGTGCTCCCTGCCCACCTGCTCAGGACAGCCAGGACCTTGGGATGAGCCTGGGTTTCAAGGCCCAGGAAACTTGGCCTGACTCTGTCTTTATGACCTGTGCAATTTGTATAGGATGGATCTCATTAGGCTTCTGTTTTCTCATTGGTAGCGTGGAGAAGTTACCCATCACTCTGAGTGTCTTACTGTCTTCTCTTATTTTCATTTATATTGTCAGCCCTCAGAGTGTTGTTTGGCAATCGTAAATGTTCAATAGGCTCTTATGAGCAGCTTAGTGGTTTAGTTACATGATCCACATAGCATACCAAGTGGTACGCCAGTTGCAGAGCGGGGCCCAGTCACCATGACAGTGCATAGTACCAGGCAATGTCTCAGAAGTCAGAAGACCTCTGCAGGAAGCTCTAGTATTAAGGTTAAGATAGGTGAAACTTTGTCAATCTAGTTAAAAGGAGTCTGAGAAAATAGTTAATGAGAGAGCCCAGATGTTGACTTCTTATCACAGGGTACATGCAAAACTTCTTAATTTGAGGATTTCAACCAAAACTATATTTAAAAGCTGACAGGGATGATACCTTTTGCTAAGATAGCACTACCTAATCTTTTGAAAAGACAGTATCAAGTAATAAATACATAATAGGCTTTGTTGTCGAAGAAACTGGTTTTAGCTTTAGATGTAAATTTTTGCTTTAAGTTTCCCTAAAATCTCTGAGCCTCATTTTTCATACTTTTAGTAAGTGGATATATTCTGACTGTTAACATTTTGTGTGAGTGTGTGAAGCAAAACCTTAGCTATATAATCAAATTTATATTCTTCAAAATAGTTTATTATTTTTACAAGAAAGTATTTTAGAAAAAGTATTATTTTGAGAGAATTTAAGGGAAAAGTTGAAAGAGAAGCATCTAAATTTTGTCAGCAGCATTTTCATTTTGATGTGAATAAAAGCACCCAAACTTGAGAGAAGCTTTTGCTCCCATTCGAATATGATAAAGACAATCTTAGTTGTTTATAAATTCAAGATGAAATAAGACTCTATTTAAAGTGGTCAAGAGGGTCAGATGACTAAGCTTCCGCGATCTGCAGTTCCACCCTCTTCAGCTGGCTCATCTGGTTTACCTAACAGGGACACAGTTCGCTGCAGTTGAAAGTCTTAAGACAGAACAATGAGATAATTGAATTTCATGCAGCTTCGGTTCTAACTAGTTCCAGTTCCAAGTTTAAGGAAGGGGAGAGTTTTGCCAGCAAGTTCTATAAAGGATCAACATCTGAAATAGATTCAAATCAGAACCATTTATCCAGGATTTTCTATAGATAGGAAGCAAATAAGGTATAGTGTCTCCTTGCCAGAAGATGAAAAATATCGTGGGAAATATGGCAAGCAGGTTAAATATGGATCTGGTATATGTGAGTGTGTTCCACCCTCCCTGACCACATGTGCTCAAAAGGAGGGTAGTGATAAAAGATACGCCGGGTAGACCAGCAGTCCTAATTACATCTAGTATTGTGACTTCACACTCACAAAAGCTATGCCTGTTTCTTTTCTTTCTTTTTTATCTTTTTATGGTTTTTTTTGCAAGTGTTGGGGTGGGTTGTTGAGAAGGTTTTGCATGTAATTCAGGCCAGACTTGAACCCACTGTGTGGCCAGGCTGGCCTCAAACTTGGAGCATTCCTCCTCCCTCAGCCTTCCCTGGGCTGGACTCCAGGTCTGCACCACCAGGCCAGACCAGCTGTACCTCTTTCAACGTTCAATGATTCCACTGGTTGCTACAAGGAAAAATGAGCACTAAGGCAGAGGAGAAATGTTTAAGTGATTCTCTTTCTTTTCTTTATCATTTGAATAATTTATTCTCCATTTGAAAACAAGGGGGTTGACTAACACAACATTTGTATTTGTATTTGACATTGTGTTTCCTATGTGTTTCTTTGTCCTCTTCTTTGTTTAACAAAATGTTGTATCAGTAAGAATGTGCAGGCTTGTAAGAGCAACCTAATTCTTTTTATAAATATTAACCCTACCAAATCAAAGCTTTCTTTTCACTTAAGATCCTCCTTTCTCAAAGGCAGGGGAAAAGAAATCACTTCAAGTTTGTGAGTTTTGACATTTTTGTTCGGTTTTCTGTTGACCTGAATAAAGTCTTTCGGTAAACTTTCCTTTTTTTTTTACCACTTTACTAAACTGCATTCAATTATTGTGAAAGGAATGTTAAATCGTAGCAAAATGCAACAATATGATATAATGGGTAGAAACCTAAGTATATTAACGCCGAGTGTAAAGAGTGGTCTTCAGGACTCTACAACACACACATTCTAAAAAGTAATCCATTGTCTCTGCAGGAAATTTGGTCAGTAGTTAGAAATACAAAAGGAAATCATTTAACTACCAGGTTTATCATTATTATTATAACCTGGCCTCTTTCTTCCAGTCCAAATTACTGATCCAGTAAATACATATCAAGTACCTCTACTTCTCAAAGCACTGTGCTAAGGTACTAAGGAAACCTCTGTAAGGATGAAATGATCCTATCATTTTGGGCATTATTTTTTTTAATGGGGCATCTGAAGGTGAAATTTTAAAATATTTAAAAATTTAGGGGTTGAGGATTTAGCTCAGTTGCAAAGGTGCCTGCCTGGTAAGCGCAAGGTCATGAGTTCGATTCCTAGTACTGGAAGAAAAACAAAAACAAAACAAATAAACAAAAAAAATTACAATACATCATATGCAAGGAAGTCACACAAGGCACATTTGAGGAAGCAATATTTGGACTTCTGATGAATGGAGTTAATCGGGAAGGAGGGATGGATGAAGGTAAGTAAGTAGCACAGGATGGTGGTATAAATTACATATTGCATCATGGTCTGCACTAAAGTCTTCTCACATCAGTATTCTCTCTCTTGTGCCATAGTGTTCATTAGTGCATCATATGGATCGATTGTATGCAAACTACTCAAGCAGCTTCCTTCTCCATAATATAGGAGCAGAATAAACAAATAGTGATGAATTCCGTTTCTTACACCCTCATTAACCCTAGATATCATCATCCCTTTTAATCTTTGTCAATTTGATGGGCAAAGAGGGAAAAAGCATGTGACTGTTTTTATTTCCTTTTCTTTGACTTTTAGTGAGATTCAACACTGCAGAAATATTTTGAATTAAGCAATGATAGATGTGCTAGTTGTGTTTTCAGACTGAAATTCCTAAACTAATTCAAAGCGGAACAGAGGAAAAGGGCTCTGATTTCTACAAATTTTACTTTTCTACATGCAGCTCACTACAGTCTTTTTGTGGCAGGGAGGTACCCAGATACATAAAAATTGGATATTTAGGTATTGAAGAGAGTTTAGGAGGATCAAAAAAACATTAAGAAACTTTTATATAAATGTTACATTGTTAAAGATTCTGACCATCTTTATTATTATTTAAATTGCATACCACTTTTAGATTCTAATAAAGATGAGCTATTTAGGGTAACTCATTTGAAAAGATCTGTATTTATTTGAAATATCACTCAGACTGTATTTATAAATGTGGCCAAACTGTATTTATACATGATTTCTTCTAACAAAGATGTACGTTTTTTCTTTTCCTCTTCCTAAGGAAAAACTGGTCTACTTCCTGGATTGTTCTTTCTAACAAAAAAATTGAATTTTACAAAGAATCCAAACAACAGGCTCTGTCCAGTATGGTAAGTAGATCTCCATTTCTAATGTTACTTTTTTTCCCCAAAATATTGTTGAATTAGAACTTTAGTTTCATCAGAAATCTCACGAAAGCCTCCATGCTACAAACATCAGAAAGCAGATGGAGGCAACGACTCAATAAACTTTTAATCAGATGAAGGGAAAATAGAACTTAGTGTCTGTTTTATTAAGTGGTGCATTTGGAGGATAATCACAGAATGAGATGAATGGTGAGTAGCTATCTAGTAATGCGGAGGTAACACTTTAAATTAAGGTGCTATTTGTAAATGCTTTATTCTTATTTATGAAATAATCACTATATGCAGCTACTTGCTCAAATAATGTCTTATAAAGTATGTTATAAAATGCATTAGTAATAAATGCTTAACAGATGAGACCATAGGAAGCTGTTTTAAAGAATATTATAAGACGTAAATCGTGTTAAACCATGTCTGTGCATCTTTAATACATGAATTTAAGTTATCTAGCATGCTATAGCGCTTCACACATTAATAAATAACAATAAAGTGTTTATAAATGGCACCTTAACATAGAGGTTACCAATGAAGACACACTCTAAGTTAACAAAGTGATTTTTTATCTTAGTCTAACTGAGACATTCATGAAATCCAGCTAACCCTTTTGGAATATTTCTATGACTCTTTATTGCAACTAATGCAATTTGTGTATCCTGTCGTTATTGCAAAGTGAAATTTGTAGGGCCTCTTCACTGTACCTGGAAGAGGGCCTCACATTTGAGATTTGAGCATGAGAGTTCAGGGGAGCAGCTCAGAGCTGGGACTAGAGCAATTCAGGCTTACAAGCGGCGCCTGAAAAGAACTTCCCCAGGACTAGGAGACTATGGGCAAGTGCTGAATCTGACAGCATCCTGATAAGGAAGGACTGTGGGGAGGAACCAACCTGCCAGAGCCCCTTGGCCTGACAGCTGAGAGGAAAGGGGTCATCTCACAGGAGTTAACCACAATGAACTAATTTATACTTGCAAGTAATACAGTGATGAGGAGTTCTTTGCTTTCTAGCTACTAGTTATGTGTGCTACGTAATCCTCTTTAAATAGAAAACACAAAATGATTTGCTAAGAGATGTTTCTAAAGAAGATTTTAGTGAGAACAAAAGGTAGCATTTGGCTTGGGACTGATAATTGCAGTAGCATTTATCCCCAAGTGGCTTGCTGATTTTGGAGGCTCGGTGTGGTCCAATCTGTAAACTAATTACGAATAAATTAAAACTATATTTCAATCTTTTGTACTTTCAAACTGCCTTAGACATTTGTTTTAGGGTTTTCTTTTGTTTTCAATTTTTGGCTACAGTAAAGTTGAGATAATCTTTTTAAGAAAACGAAAATACCCCTAAGGGCCAGGCACAAAACAACTCCCATCCACTTGCGGAGCCTTTGTTTTCACTTTGAATGAGTTCTGAGGGGAAGTCAGGAAGGGAGGGAAGTCACTCGCCTTGCTGGGTTGGGCTGCTGCGAAGATGATCTCCATCCTGCTGAGTGAGAAGAATTCCACTGGTGCAGGGTTGACGTGAATGCGCTGGGATAATGGGAGAGATTAGATCCCACATTAAAGCATTTGGTTGACTTTTATTTTATTATTTTAATCTCTTCATGCCTGGAGATATAATTCTCAGCTGTTTAATTACAGACAGGTGAAAAGGAAACTTGCTTTTGGACTGTAGGCAAACCTTGCAACTCCGCTCCTAATTGTACGCCTTGAGTTCAACCTTCAGAATTGTTATAAGTTGACAATAGATTTGACTTGTAAAAGAAATTCATTATGATATTTTGGCAGTGCCTGTTTATTACTTCTGGCCCAATTTTCAATGCTCTTATGTTTTCTCCCAGGCACTCATTGTCTTCAAAGTGAATTCAGGGCAGGAACTAACTGTTTTGTGGTTACGGGGAGGAGAATTATAGATTCATGTTTGTACCGCATGAATTGTCTTGCTAGTCAATGTCTTGGATTCATTTCTGACTAAGTATTAAAAGCCTAGTGGGATAGCCTACATTTACCAATTCGAGTCTCAAAGAAATGATATGATGATTGCCAGGCCTTGATTAAAGATGCTGTGGTTTTATTTTAAAAGGGATTTATGTTCACATTTCTGAATTTCCCTGTACCCCCTTAGATGTGTCCTAGAGCTCCTTGTGTTTCTGGGAAGAAGCCTGTCCTTTCCTCCGAGGGGTCAGGGGAAGCTGCCTGAGTGATTGCAAAATGTACTTTAAAGAGCAAATAGTATTTTAACCCGTATAGAATCATCTTTGAATGTTAATGCACTGGTGAGACAAAGTAGGAAAGTAGCTGAGAGCTGGCTTTGAAGTTGGACCACAGGGGTTTAGTTCTATTTTGCCACTTAGTAGCTGGCAAAGTCACTCAGTTTCTTTGAGCTTCCCTTCCTCACCTGAAAGATGGAGGAAGTGATATCCGCCAACAGAATTAATGAGGAATGGAAATAGTCTAGCAAAATCAGAAAATGCTATAAAACAATTAATGATTATTATAAGTTTCAAAAATACATAAACCTATAATCCACATTGTAGAATGTAGTATAATTAAAAGACTATTCTATTACTTTGCCCTTGGGGTAATTAAGGCATTTACAGTAGTGAGATTTATTAATTATAGGAATATTGTCATTCACAGGGTTCATAAAGCAAAATATGAATCCATATTTCACCAGGACTCCATGGGCAGCATAAGATCCTATGTCCAGCACTGAGTAACCCTGCAGATGTAGCAATGCATCCATTTGGGTCTCTAGATGTAACCTTCCGCATGTTTGAACACATTTTCCAAGAGTTTGCGTCTGCTTCTGCTGGTTATTATTCTCACCACCTTATCTTTAATACAGCATGTCACAGAACATTGTACCTGATTCCACGTTCCATGTTTGGCCACCTTGCTTTCTCACTACCGTTCTTTGAGTACATATCTGTCTTCTTTACCTGAGGCTGTCACAACAGCCCTGGGGTCCTAAAAGCAGACATTTACTTTTGTCAGTTCTGGAGGGTAGCAAGTCAGAGGCACTGAGAAACCTGGTGTCTGGTGAAAATAAACTTTGTGGTGTGCATCTCGCTATTTCTTGTAACCTCACGCGGTAGACAGAAAAGAGCGCAAGCCCTCTGTCTCCCCATGTGAAGGCACTGTTCCCATGAATAAGGAATCCCCCTCATGATTCAACCACCTCCCCAAAACCTCACCTCCTATCATGACCTCAAGGCTGAAGATTCAACTTGTGAATTCTGAATTCAATGTGTGAATTCTGAACATGCAGTCCATAACAATATCCAAGCTACATGCATGCTACAGGCAAGGACCCTGCCCCTGAAGATAGGAGCGCAAATCAGCGCCCTGGTTTGTGTAGGTTAGTGACTCACAGGCTCTGGGTCCTCTGTGACCTATTAAAGGAAAAGGATGACAGGCTATTCTGTTGGTTTGTTTGTTTATTCTTCAGTGAGGACTTTAAAGAGTAACAAACCACCTACTATCGTTATCATTTTATAACAGAGAAGACATGATAAAACACCACAATCTGATCATCTAGAGAGAATCAAACCTCAAGAAAAGACACTTTGCCAAAAAAAAAAAAAAAACCCAACTATCCCCCTCTTAAATCTACACACATGCTCCCTAATTTGTTCAAATTACCTCAGACCAAAACAAGCTTGGTCCATGGTCTTGCAGATAGAAACTTGCTAGATGGAAGAAAAGGATATAGGTTGCATTCTCATAATTTCAAAAACTATATTCTGGTTTATAACTCCCTATAAATTTTAAAAGTCATTTTAAAATAATGCAGAATCAGTTTTTGGTCAATACAGAATACATTCTTTTTTTTCAGACAGCATTGTTCTTATGCTGCCCAGGCTGGTCTTGGACTCTTTCTTGGGTTTAAGAAATCTTTCTGTCTCAGCCAGTTGAAGAACTGGAAGCTCCAGCATGTGTCACCACATGGGGCTCCTTCTATGTCCATTTTAGTAATTGTTATCAATCACCTGTGTATGCACCAATGAAGGCAGGAGATAATCCTCAAACCATCCAGAAGCCCCAGCATTGTCACTTGTGTCCTATTGTCACCAGTCTTTTCCTTTGCTCTGTAGTTAGCCATTAACCTGATTGGGGGTCATGATTTTATTCCTTTTCACTATGATTTTTCCACCTCTGTCTAGATACCTTAAAATGTCATTGAGTTTGCCTATGAATTTCTTTAAATGGAAGCAGAGTATCTGTCTTTTCTTTCTTGCTACTTGCACTAAGTATGCTTTGCCCTTTCTCTACTTTAAATGCTTGCATTCCATTTCATCCCCTACTATTTTTGAGTGAGATATCTGGTTGTAGTTTTGTTAGTAGTTAGCCTACAACTACAACCCTGATGCCTATCAAGGACTAAAGCCAGCCAAATTGTTTACCTTTTCTTGAAATATTACCTTAGAATATTTTAAACCATTTACATATATATTATATACAAAATAGCTGTCTTTCATAATTCTTGTTCTTAACACCATAAGACACGAGGTAATCCTTATAGAATCAATGTTGGTTTATATTTGCCAAATATTTGCAGTATTCTCTGCTGTTTATGCCTCCAGGAATCTTAGGCTTTCCTTCTAGGGTCACTTTTCCTTTGGCCTAAAATGAATTCTGAGAAATTCCTACAGTAAGAGTCTTATGGTAAGATCTTTTCTCATTGCCTGCTTATTCAAAGCTTCTATTTCTCCTCATTCTGGAAACACACATTCTCTCTAAAGCTAGATAGCAGAGTTGATATTTTCTTCCAGTACATCAAAGGTATCACTCTATTGCTTTCTGTCATCTATTATCACAGTCAAGAAATCATCTTTAGCATAAGTGCTATTCCTTGGTTGTTCTCAACATTTTTCTCATTACCTTTGCTTTTCTGTACTTTCATTATGATACACACGGGTAAAATTTAGTTTTCTTTTTCTTCCCTGGGTTGTAGTACATCTTGAAATGGATTTTAT